ATGCATAGTTTACCTCTAGATTGTGTAACCATCTTTGTACCGGCAGGTAGCGGTATTCTCCAAATTTTGCCCATATGGGTCGATGTTCACCGCTTGTTGGAATAACTTCATCGTACTGCAAGGCAGTTGTCATACAACGATGCCAAGGCTTATTGGAATAAAAAATGAAATTAATTTTTTTTACTAAAATTATAGGGATAAATTTAGTAGGTTTTGAAATGTTTTTTTTTTTTTAATTGTGTTTTTTTTTTATTGATTTATTTGGTATTAAACGATCTCACATCATTCCACAGTTGAAGTTTGAACACATGTTATTTATCTATTCTGGCAGCCTATATTGTATTGATGCATTTTAATAAAGTAATTCATCAGTGTTCATTTGTGCAGGTATGACTATCTTTTATGTTTCACATATTAAATGTCTCACTGTTATGTTCAGCTGTTGTGTTTATTTTGAATTTGAATAAATATACAACCATAAAAAGTAAATAATATTAGCTGATAATAAAAATCAACAAACTGCCACGTCAGCTATGATTTATGTAAAATAATATTTTTCCATATTGAAAACTGTATGAAAATTATTGTTTTATAAGTATACTAAGACAGGCACTCGTACAATTGTTAACTTGTACAATTGTTTCTTTTTTTTTTTCTTTTATTATCTATTCATTATCAATACAGTTTTGTATGATTTTTGTATGATGACATAAATTGATAAATAAATAAAAATGCTTTCACTGGGTAACAAAGCCAGTGTCACCCACAAAAAGATGTAGAAAAAATAATTATCAGACCTGGAGGATCTAGCTTCTTATAAACTTAAATAAATAGTTCATAAAAATGGGTTTTAACAATAAATTTTCACAAATATATATAAAATTTCTTATAGTGTAATGATTTTAATAATCATTTTCCACAAATAAAGTGTATGATTTCTTTTAATCATTCTACAGTTGAAGTTTGAACACATGATATTTATCTATTCTGGCAGCCTATATTGTATTGATGCATTTTAATAAAGTAATTCATCAGTGTTCATTTGTGTAGGTATGACCATCTTTTATATTTCACATATTAAAATGTCTCACTGTTATGTTCAGCTGTTGTGTTTATTTAGAATTTGAATAAATATACAACCATAAAAGTAAATAATATTAGCTGATAATAAAAAATAATTATCTGACCTGGAGGATCTAGCTTCTTATAAACAAATGTGGCAAACCCGTTGCGATATGCTACCTAATCCGATCCATTTATTTAGTCAAACAACTGTTAAATTGCTATGTTTGACTTTAGTATTGATTTTTATTTATTGAGTGTAAAACACTCATGATTCAACAAAGAAATGAAAATGTCCATGTTTACACAAAAATCAATATCAAAGCAAATGCCAGACTAAATGAAAAATAAGCATAGACATAATACCTTTAGAAGCAATAGTAATACAACTTTCTTTAACTACAATCACAATTAATTCCTTGAAGTCAACAGCTAACCATATTTTGTTTACTAAGGAGTAGATAGTATTATTAGTCCTAATTTCTGGAATAAATTTACTGCTTAATTTTTTCCCTAACTGTAAAGCACATTGAGTACTGTTACAGTAGTAGCATGTGTGCTGATATTTATTATCATCATCATCATCATCATCATCAGCATCATCATCATCATCATCATCATCATCATCATCATCATCATCATCATCATCATCAGACATCATTGTTATCATTATTATCATCATCATCATTATTATTATTATTATTATTAATTATTATTATTATTATCAGACATCATTGTTAACATTATTATCATCATCACTATCATCGGCATCATCATCGTCGTCATCATCATCATCATCATCATCATCATCATTATTATTATTACATTGTTATTATCAAACTATTTCCCAATATCAGGCATCTAACAAAAGCAATAGTACAGTAGCTGCAATTAATTGAAATGGAATAGGGATTTTGAATTATTGTTGAACTTAAATAGGAATTGACCATTTTAACAACCTATCACAGTATGAACCATTGCTTTGTTAAATATCAGTGCTAAAACAAATTATATATTCATAAAGGTATTGTGTTATTGTTATTTAAAATGCCAGATATAATATTATGCAGGATGCTTTTCAACTAAAAAAAAAGTATAATTTTTTATGATATTTTTTTATTATTTTAAATTTAAAACATTTATACAGGATACAATTTCAGACAAGATGTAAAATTTTTGTTTTTAAAATGGTCCTGTTTAAATTAATACAATTGAGAAGATACTTAATTTCATAGATGATAAAAACTTAATCTACAACATAGAATACATTGAATTTTGTTGAAAAGATCACAAGGTAAGGTAATACAATGCACGTCTTAATCACATAATAATAATGATCATGAAGATGATGATGCTGATGGTGATAATGATGATGATTATAATCATCATCATCATTGATTTTAATGTATGTAAGTTCAATTTGTGCAATTCAATGTTTATAGTTAATTTTTGGTGGCAATTTATTTAGGAATTATTTATGTCCTTTTCTATATACAGTAAATATTTAAATTAATTAGTTTGTTATTGGTAATATTTTGTACTTAATGATAATGAATGGTAAATAATTAATGATAATTTCTTCTTGTGCGAAGTTTATATTTAATTGTGTGTACTGTATGTGTTTTGAATGTGTGAACAGTGACGTACCTAGAAGTCTTGAAATGGGGGTGCTGATGTGGGAGGGAGGCGTGACGATGAAGTGGGGGGGGGGGCTTGATGATCAGTTGAGGGGCACTAATTCGCAAAATAAGATGATTTTAGGTGATTTTCAACTACTTGACCGTGATTTTGAGGGGAGGAGCGACTCGGGGAGGTGCGACTCGGGGAGGTGCGACTCGGGGAGGTGGGGGCACTAGTAATTTTAGATACGCCTTTGTGTCTGAATAAAAATCCATGAATGAATTTAATGGTAATGATGATAATGAGAACCAACAACATACAGTACATTATTACTTACACGTTTTATTGGTTCACATACTGGATGAAATTCTCTATATGGCTTCTACAACACAAAAGTAAACAAAACCAAAACAATGAAATAAATAAAGATAAAACTTTTTTCTATTATTTTCCTGCTCTCTTTTGGGGGAACTGCATAAACACATTTGTAGCATTAGAAGAGACAAGGGATAAAAGATGGCTTTAAATTAAATACAATACAAATCAATTTAGTTTTCATAAGTTTCTCTGCAGTATAGACAGTAAAATTCTGGCTAGATAGAATGGCATATACAAAAACACAGCTCACAATATTAGAGCAGCGAGTTGTATTTTCTTTCTTTATTAATATGAATGTTTAGAAATGGGTATTAGGCTTTCGACTTTTCCAAAATCGTTGCTGAATCAAATTACCTTTGGAATAGGTAACCATCGGTCAGTTTCACAGGTGTAGGCATCCTCAGAACCATCCCAGTCAACAGTTAAGTTGTGCTGAAAAATATATAAATAATTGGGAATATATATGTCTCTTATACACATCTTTTTGAATTAATAATTCAAATATCATTATATAATCATGATTAAATAAGTAGCTGCTAACGGTTGTAGACATTATTTAATAGTTTTACTATATCTGTCTCTTATACACTGAAGCAAAACATATGTTGCAAAATATACTCCTCATCTCTTATGAATTAACATATTTACATTTTATATTCTTATTTGTTTGTATTTTATGCAATCTGGTGCATGTTGGATTCCATAATATCAATAATATAGTTAAAAACGTTCCAATATGGTAAATCATTCTTATAGAAAATATGACTGCATACAATTCCATCGTCACAGTTGATGTCCTTTATCCCCATAGGTATGCCTCCATGATTGTGCATGGCGTCCTGAAGGTCATTACTCTTCTGACGGTGATGGCCACCACAAACCAGTCCCCATGTACCGAGAAGTAGCACAAGACAGTATTTTTCAAGGAGGAACAACATCACGTGACGTCGATAAATAGTTGAATTCCCTTTCTATCGTGCTGTTATCTGTTATATTTAGACATGTAAATTAATAAACGAATGAAAATTTAATTACAGATTCATACATAATGCTATACATTCACAAACACGTAAAATATGCATCTTTTAATTTCTGTTCAATGATGTTGGAAGATATTTTGACAAAAAAATCAATGACTACCATTGTAGACATAGGCCTATTCAATGCCTTAAATCTTTATAAACAGTAACGGAATAATTGCGAACAAAGAGGTGACATTCCTATTAGTGATATTTTAGCAGGCGAATTTGAAAGTTTGGTTGTCGAAACCGGAGAAGGGCCTCGTGTTGTTATTTGTTGTACATTTTTATTTTGTTACATTTTTTATATAACAACTAACAGATTCTAATTAAATTTCTAGCTCATAAATAATCTCAACTGTCTAGCAACAATCTTTATTTCATTAAAAATATAGAAATAAAAATAAAAATATCCCCATCATCAACACCGCTATCACAATATCTGGGGCTCTCTCAAAACACTTTCATTACGTTTATCTATTTAAAAAAATTACATTCTATTTACGGTTTCTAGATTTTCGCCGTTGCTGGTTTGCTACTTTATTCTATGTAATGTAAGCGTATCTATTCATACTACTTAATATTATGCGCTGTTTAATGGTGATGGCGTGACATTTCACGTGTCATTTCCATTATAAGACGAATAATTATGTGGAACTATGATCAGTTTTGATCAATAAAACAGCAATCAGTACCTCAATGTAAAAATCATGACATATGCCTATATAGATCGGATATCACGATAGGCCTATTATAGAAATACAAATACTGTATTCTTTAAGGGAATATAAGCGTATATACTAGATATCTATTAATATTAATTAATATTAGGCCTATTCGCTGTTAATTGGTGATGGCGCGCCATTCACGTGTCATTTCCATATGAGACGAATAATTATGTGGAACTATGATCAGTTTTGATCAATAGAACAGCAATCAGTCCCTCAAGGTAAGAATCATGACATTATGCCTAGATCGAATATCACGATAGGTCTATTATAGAAATACAATACTGTACTATTTATGAAATACCGATATATTTTCTTTGGCAAAATAAAGACGTAGACCCCGCGCGCATCACACGAAGTGTACATTCGATTTTATAAATATGATGTTATTATCAATTATTATATTCCTCGATGATTTCTTTGATCTTTCAAAATATATGAATTATGATCTCATCTAAATTGTTTAGGGAAATGCATGGTATTCTGCAAGCAGTCAGATACAGCTGTACTATATAATTTTTCGTTTAATTATATCTAACTGGCTACTCACCTTAAACACAGAAAGATTGTAAATTCATAGAAAAGAAGACGAATGTTAATCTTGCAACAGAGCCCATCAAACGGAGTAAAACAAAGCAATATGGTACATATAAAATCGTAAAATCGAAACATAAAATGGCCAGTTACTGTAGCCGTGTATACTCGCAGCCTAAGCTGTTTCCGATTACTTTGCTATCGTCATAATGCAATATGACATCGAAGATAGTAACATTATAATAAATCACTGAAGTGTGTGCGAGTCGAGAGACATGATTTTAATGTTATGGCGCCCTCTATAACTTATACAAAGTTACAGAGCGCCTCTGGTAGTAGAATAAATAGGCTTGCTTTATCAGCGCTACTACAATGTTTTGAATTAATAATTCAAATATCATTATATAATCATGATTAAATAAGTAGCTGCTAACGGTTGTAGACATTATTTAATAGTTTTACTATATAGACTACGCAATTTTATTTGTTGTACCTATCTTAAAAGCTTATTCTTGCATATAACATCCTAATTTTATGCGACTCCTTCCTCGGTAATATTCGCTTAACTACCAAATGTGGTTTTCTTCGCAAAGCTGATGCTCTGATGTGATTGTGAGTTTTCCACCTATTACCTGGTCCATGGAACATGAAGCGGCACATCAAGCCTGCTCATGACCGACTCTGCGCACTTTAAACTGCAGTGGGTGGGACCCGTAACTTTCCTCGGTCCCATTCTTCCCCATTTCTACCCCTCCTGTTACTTTCGATTGGAAAATAGTCCAAAAACCATATAGTATAGTCTCCGGAGCTCACGCAGCCAACTGAGTGGCTCCAGTTTAATTCATATTGATCTGAGGGGGATACATGACAAAAAGTAATATCGGTAGCTGAGTTAATTACGCCATGGTGTAAGTTTGAAAAAGTGGTTCTCAAACTATGGAGCGCAACCCCAAATGGATCGCCAAAAATATTTATGAGTGCCGAGGTTTTTGTTTTTTTTTGTTTTTTTTTTGTTTTTTTTTTTTTAAATATTTTAATATTTCATTTTGCCAAAAATCGTAGCCTAGTGTGAGAGCCTTTTTCATTTTAAATATTTTCAAATGCACATTAGTAGTATACGGTACCAACAAATATAGGGTTACTGGGGGTTTTTTTTCCTATTAAGTGTGTTATTAAGTGCGTATTATTATTTATTCGAATTTAAACGCCCTTTAATTTCACTGCGAATGTGAAATAGCCAGGTTAGCAAAAATGTGATTCTACTGGAGTAGAACATTAATAGAGTGTATTGAGAATGCAGGTGAGAATGATGTTGATCGAATTCCATTAGTTATTTACAGTAATTAGTACGTTAGCACTGCAGGGGCGTGTGTTGAAGAAAAAAATAAACGCCCCGGTGTCGAAGGAGGCGTTTCAACTCCAAATGAGGCTCTGGATGGGGCGTTTATTCGAGTGGGCATTTATTCAAAGCGGGCCGTTTATTCCAATAAATTAATGTTATTATCATTAGGTCGTAAATGGCAAAAATATTGGAGCTTCCATGAGCTCCAACTCTCCTATACCATATTACTATGTACCTGACCATAGTTGTTGCCCCATCATCGATAGTTGTAGAAGTAACTATAAATTAACTAAGTAAAGAGTGGTTCTAAAATCTTGTCTTTTGATTTCTGATTTGATCGTCTTTTGTCACATCATATCATAATGGAATGGATACATGTAGGCCTACCATGTGGTTTTTTTAAAAAGCATTCTTGATAATAATGATGATGATATGGTGGCTTGATTAACCGTAGTTGAAAAGATTCAAAGAATCTGTCATTGACGTCAAACGATGCGTCGGAGACGTCACCCTATTGGCTGCTGCCGCGTCAGCCAATCATTGAGGAACACCTCGGAGCAAGCGCGATGAGAACGGCTGGAAATTGTCGAGCTAACGGCGAACTATCCGACCTCTGTGCTGTGTGTCTCTCGACCGTGGCCGTTTCTACTTTGTTGGAGTCTAGGTTTCAGCTAGCTGAGCCTAAAGAAAAAGGGAAGCGAGTAGTTACTGAATTGCCCGAAGAGTAACACCTGCAGGGAATCAGTTTGATAGACTAGGCAACATAGATTTTTTTTTCTGTTATTAACTACTGGATTTTTATACTAATTTCAAGGACTTAGCTTTTACCGGTGCGTGGGCTAGCTCTAAGTAGTCCATTGTCTCAATCGCAAATTCCACTGTGCTGGTTGGATAACGTTTTACTACGTAGCTAGTCAGAAGAGACACGTGGGCCTAGAAATAGCCTTACGATGGACCTGCCTCATACGAAGACTGTTTCACAAATTTTAGACTATTATAATGTCAAAGAAGCTAATGGATTGAGCCAGGCGCAAGTTACGTCAGCTCAAGAAAAGTATGGCCCAAATGGTAAGAATATTCGAGATAGATTTGCCATCTGATTAACGAAAAATTGATTTGTGTTTGTGACTCATTTTCAGGCAGGTGAATGCTAGGCCTACCTAGGCTAAGCCGATGAGATCAGATAACGTACTGTACTATCATCATCAGCAGCATTGGTGTTACTTCAGCTTGGTTCACGTCGAACTTTTATCTAGATATACATCCACTTAACTAGTTAAAAGTTCGACGTGAACCACTCAATTATAGCTAGTTAAAGGAATTAAGTCCTTAAGTTAAGTGACTTAACTTTACTAGAATAACGGTAAATTAACTTGCTTAACGGTAAAGTCGGCTCGGATTACAAGGACACGATTACGTAACGTAGGCATCTAAGCCAGCTTTGTTGTATTGCACCACCATTATCATCTTCTGGCTGGCAACGTACTTCAACAATGCTAACAACAGCATCGAAGTAGTCTCATTAGTCTGGTTTTCAGAAATTATTTGTAATATTTTGGGTAAACACCCAGCAAACGTCCGTTTTACGAATAGTCGATATACAAATAACCGTTGCATCATCGACCAAGTAATAATGATAAAAAGTCCGATTGCGTTTGTTTTCAAAGTGATAATGTATATTTTTCTTAATAATAAAATCAGATTTGTTGTATTTATTTATTGACAATTCAATCTTTTCTATTTCTGCTATAATAGTCGCTATTAATTCAATTTCAACAAACTACCACCTACGCCAGTCGTTAAAATGAGCGCACATGTTTACGATGACGAAATAAAAAAGTGTGTTGAAGTCAGCAACTTATTTGACACTGCGAAGCTAGATTTTCGCGAAGTGCATGTAAACAACACAATTGAGCGATCTAAAAACTACAAAACAGGACAGAAAGGTCCATAAAGTATACAGACGTTTTAATGAAAATTAAACCAATATTTTGTTAAATGGAATAATGCTAGCTAGCGATTAAAATAATTCGTTTTTTATCGAAGGTAAATGCTAGGGCCAGGGCCTAGAGAATCTACCACTTAGATTGCGATAGAACACGCTGCTGCACTGGTCGTTGGTTCATACTGGTCGGTTAGGTAGTGGAAACTCGCACCTTCTCTACAGTAGTTTACAATTTTTTTTAACGAATACCACTTGGTACTAGAGGTTCGTAAAATACAGTAGATGTTTTATTAAACAAGCCTTTCGACCGTGTGACGTCAACGGCCTGAAACTGGCTGGCTGTTTATCTGGCTTTAACTTGGCATCGAACGCAATTAGGGGATTATCGTATCATGTTTCAAGACGGGTATATCTAGATAAAGTTCAACGTGAACCAGACTATGGTGTTTCCTTTGTGTTGCTGCATTTCCCAAAAATATCAACGTTGTGCAACCCAAATATCAATAAGTTATTTTCAGTGCAGCAGCATGTCAGTATACAATTGTTGGTGCAAGCACATAATATATATATATATATATATATATATATATATATATTACTCTGCAAACCGACGGGCTACTGTAGGAGGAAGGAGTCCCACTTTGGCCTAGCCATACATACAGTGAGATTGCTGGTGGGGGGGGGGGGTGTTCTTGGGCCCCTTCCCATGTAATGTTGTGGCAAACAGAAATTACAATGAAGTTGGCAACAAGACCCTGTAAAATGCATATGAGGCACATTTCCAATATTTACATTTGTACAGACAGTGATTGAAAATCTCCCGCTGGAAGCTCCCAGCTACTGTACAGTATGATTATGATATGCCATCTGCAGAGGGATAATTATCACTCCATGTGTTGGTATAGGTTCAGGCCTATACTGTCAAATACTGTAGCATGGTCAAGTAGGCTTTGTGTGCAGTTTCTGTCTGCTTCCTTGGTTGGGCCCACTATGAGTCGATAAAGTCGGCGTACAAAGGAAATAATAGTGATAATACGATATGGATTAGGCAATTATAGTGACCTTACCTACTGTATGAAGTATGAAGAGGTATTCAGTAATAATAGTAATACAGTACATTTCAAAGCATATTTTATATAAATATTAATGATAGCAATCAGAATATAATATATTAAATAACCATTAGAAAAAAATCAGGTGAATGTCTCACCAGAGAAAAAGGCACCTAAACATTTGAATGTATTTTTCCTTAAAAAAATAAGATAAATATTTTTGAGGACATTGTATTGTCATTTGATTTTATTGATAACAGGATCCATCAAATTAACCCAGCACATAAAGCAGATGACAAGACCCATCAACAATTTCATGCACCCATTTTTTTTTAGAGATTTTTGTTTTAAAATGGTTAAAAATTTGGCTAGTAAATGGGAGCTGGAATGCCCATTCTCTCCTCCATAAATCAGTGAACTATAAAATGTGGATGAATCATCAAAATCCTTTCATTAACGTATAGTAAACAAGAGTTGTTTTTTATGTCTTTATCTACTGCAGGCAAGATTCCATACTACACTCTAGCTTGTACTGTCTGTTCCAGGATAATATGTATTTTACTAAATTTATTACAATTGACTTTCCCATTACATGACAAAAATTGCATCCTATAAAATAACACTTAGCAAATTGATGATAAAAAATACAGCTCAGAATAATTATAAAATTTTGAAATAAAATTCAAATGGATCTGAATGCATTTGAGTTGTAGGCCTACAGTATCAAATAAATTAATCAATTTATGTTGTTTAAAACATGTACAAATGCATGAGACACAGCAGCACCTATATATTTGTTGCCTGGTTCAATTGGCATTTCTTAAAATCAATTCACAGATTTGTTTATAGTTTGATTCAGTTCGCAATTGGGAATCCTGTCTCAGTTGGTTTACAAGTATCATTGTTTTTCGAGACGAATGAAATAGAAGTACATCACCTAATTCTGCATTCTATTTTCTTAGCAGTCCTGAGAATCAGTGGCATTGTTGCTAAGATAAATTGGGCAGGGTAACTTTTTAAATCAAAATACTACTTGGAATAGGATTAATATACACAACATGTTTACGTAATTCTACTACATTCTATTTTTGTAGCTCGGCCATGAGAATCGGCAACACTTAAATTGTAAATTGGGCGTATTGTCTTCTTAACTTAAAAAAACTTGATTACTTCGGATCATGCACAAATATACAACACCTATTCTTCATTCTATTATCATAGCAGCCCTGTATTATGTTTGTGTTTCCAGTAAAAAATTAATGTCTCTTTATTTTTCCTAAATTCATTTGAAAATTGCCAGACAAATTCCAACAAACTCAAAACTACCTCGTTAAAATAATCAAAATCAAATGTGGTATTCAATGCATAGAGTGATATTCTGACTTGGGCCAATGTTATACCTTCTTCACCATCTCTGTTGTAAACAACTCGTTCCTTGGACTGGGTATAAAACACCCATAAAATGACATGCAAAGAAAATCTCCTCAGCAGATGCCCCCTGCTACATTGTCTGCACTCAAAAGTACCAACACTATAATAATTAGCTAAAGCACAAGTCGCTATTAAAAAAAAGTGGGCATTATAATTGGAAATTGGCGGTTATATGAGACCTGCAGTTGGATGTCCATTTATTCCTACAAAAGATTGTAAAAAAAAATGAGTGTGATACGTGCCTTGCAATGTATACTGTACTGAATGTCAACCATGATGTAATGTTAAGTTAAACATAAAGCCAGACACACTTGTGTTGTACAAGCATTGGCCGACAAATCTATCTGTCTCCGCTCTCTGTACACCTCATCGCATCACGTTCTCTATGAATCATGACTGTCAGCGCAGGGTGTGCTCGGCTTTACTGTACATTTCGGCTCTATAGTTCAGCACAAATACAAATCCTGTTAACTGGACAACTTCTAGACCACAAAAAGTGTACTTTATATTGACAGTGGCATTTACAGTATCAGTTAATTGTTCTTAAATAAATACATGCATTGATATCAGTCAACTAATTTTTAAAAATACATTTTAGTTGCTATTTAATGCATGTTTTTTTAACAAATGTTGCTTGATATATTATATTTTTTTCTAACTAAGGAATTGTGTTTAAATTATTAAACAAATGCTATTTTTGTATTACACATTTCTTAATGTTTTCTTTTTTATTTAAATTTCAGAATTGCCAGCGGAAGAAGGTAAGATAGATTTTAAAGTTGTTTGTTAATAAAGTGAAATACTTGCTTTCCAGTGGATATTTTATTAGGAAATTTGTTGAATGCATTGCATGACCATATATGGCAGCTATTAAAGAGCCTTAAGTTTAATGTACTTTGTATTGGAGAGTGCAATGCATTATCCAGATACAAATTTGTGGGCTAACGATGACATCATTACATTAGTGAAACCTTAAATAAACTAGTTAAAACATCTGATATGATATTGTAGATATTCAAGGATGTGATTAAAATCCATGAAAACACCAGTCAATTGATTTCTCAGTGAAAATATTGATAGCAAATTGAGTAAATCCTTACACTAGTTAACAGGGGTTTAGCCAGAAATACGAAATAGGCTGTCCAGAATGGAAGCCAGTTGGCATGGCACTGAGCCGATGGGTGGGAAATGCCCATATTTGGGAATCCCCACCGAATATTGGTACGAAAACAAAGTACATTCAATCAATAAATGTTGTTTTTATCAAACTTAAATATGATTTAACTTTAGTTTAATGTAACATTCGATAGATTTGAAGAATATAAAGAATTTGTTAAAGGTAGACCAGTCCCAATTAGGCTAGGCCAAACTGATTAGGCCAAGCCGTCATGGTAAAAGTGGCCGTCCTAAATAATTGTAGGCCGTCAAAAAGATGGCCAGACGGCTCGCTGGCTAAGTTAACTAAATTTTGTATGGTGATATTGGTAGTCACAAATATAATTATTTTTCAATTAAAATAAAGTAAAAACCTTAGTTGATTGGTCTGTGAAAATATTATATTATTGAAATATGATATTAAATTTACAAATTATGAAATTCTTCAAAATATTTAAATATTATATTTAATTGTTACTGTTTAATTTTATAATACTGTATTTGATCTTAAAAAACGTGACCTTTTTATAATTCTCAGGTAAATCAATATGGGCGCTAGTGTTGGAACAGTTCGATGACCTTCTTGTTAAAATCTTGTTGTTGGCAGCCATCATATCTTTCGTACGTATTTTTAATTTTTTTAAATTGTTTTGTTTTGCTGTCATTGTTTTTTCCCTTGTTTTGCAAACCTGACACTTTTCAATAGTTATAATTTCATTAAATTTTACATGCTTAGCAGAATTGCTGCTGTGCAAAAAAAGAAATCCTCTCCATCATTATGAAAAAAAATAAAGCATTATTTAAACCCCAGGAAGTTCTGGAGAAAAACATTTTTATGTTTGTACATCTGATTTTTCTAAGACACAAAAAGCATATTTTACGAAAAAATTCAGGAATGGTTTAATGAGATACAGATTTTTGAATATTCGAAAACTAGGGAAAAGGGGTTATAACCACCCTTTTTGACCCCAGCTTTTAAATATTCAAAAATCTGTATCTCATTAAAAGATTTTCATCAAATATGCTATTTATGTTTTAGAAAAATCAGTTGCACAACATATAAAAAAGAAATGTTTTCCTCGTGAGCCTGGCTTTAAATAATGCTTTAAATAAATAAAGTATTATTCAGTGCAAAACCGTTACATTGCACATCTTTGGATACAACTTGTAATCAAATTCAGAATAAAGCAAAAATACAAAACAAAACTAATGCAATAGAGATAATAATATACTGTATACTATTTAAACAAATAGTGGGTCATAAGTTTATTGTGCTGTATTCATTTGTATACTGTAAATCACATTTGAGAATAACACTAAACAATTTTGTTTAAAAGTTTATGTGAGGTAATATAAATAAGGGTGCTTATGTTTAGCCATGGAGATTATCTCATGTTAATAATTTGCTTGTCACGCCAAAGATTGGGGCCCTAACCATGGGGATATGTGCTAGAATGAACTAGAATGGTCAGGAATGACAGCTCAATATAGTAATTTTTGAAGTAACCTAACTTATAATTAAAATAAAAAGACTTTGGAGTTGTAGATGTGGCCGCCGAGAGTGGTACTGGGTGGCAGTATCCACAGCTGCCTTGCCCCGGTTCTCAATGGTAACATTTGAAGGGTAATTTTTGTGCTCTAGTGGAGTCAGTATGGCAAGAACCAGAGGCTATGTCCAATATACATTTAGGTATATGTCTAATTTCCATGATTTTAAAGTTTTGTCCAAAATTGATGACATTTTCATTGCTTTTTCACCCTAGTGGCCTAGGCCCAGGTTATCTTCCCTCTCGCTTCTTGGTGTAGAAGAAACATTTAGTTCTGGTCTATTAAAATTCAACTCATACTTCAGAGCCTTCTTCAGAGGGTAAACATAAACTTTATAATCCAGGGGTGGGCATAAAAATTGTGAGCTTCCAAAAACTTCCAAGCACTGCTTTTACACCAATTTATTCTCAATTTTAATGTTAGTTTTTAAATATGATCGGTTTCGGGCCATAAGAAACAAGGTGTTTTCTAGCCAATGTTGCTTGGCGGGCCACACATTGCCCACCTGTGCTATAATCTATAAGTATAATAATCTATTAAACAATCTTGAGGGAATGCTGCAGCCACAACAAACCATCTCAATGGCCCAAGATCGCAGCAACTGGAGAAATATTGTGGTTGCCTGCTTCGCAGCCAACTGATGATGATGATGGTGATGATGATGATTATTAAACAAAATGATGTGTCTAGGCTTGCATCAGCTTGCATTACCGTCTCACTCTTCCTACCTAGACATGTTTACATACAGTACTCATAATGATATTTGAACAGCTATTTGCTTAAAAGATTACACATTTTTCAATCCTCCATAAATATTGGCTTCAGTTTATCCACACTATCAAATTTAATGAAAGAATATTCAATATGCCCATATTTGGGCATAATGTGATATCATGCCCATATACGGGCATATCACACAAGTTTGTTACATAAAATTTGATAGTGTGGACAGAGTTTAAAATACATTGTATAGTTCTGCTATTTGTCTGCATCTGAGTTTCCATGCAGAATGTTTGCTGAGTATTTGAAGCATATGGTCTCAATCAAAAAGCTATTATTGTAACCAAAATTAGAATAAAAATAAGATGCAAGATAATTTGATGTCTATTACAAATCTTGCATGTCATTAACAAACAAAAAAATTCCTACAATTTTTACTAACTGTACAGTACAGGTGAAAATAAATGCTGATAAATATGATATGATACAGTACATGTCCAAGAATCCATTGGGTTTACGGTATTTAAAAAATATATATTTATTTCTCTTTCTTGACATTGATATTGATCAAATAACATAATTTGGCTTCAGATATGAAATTGCTGTATGGTAATGTACAGCAGCTCTGGATTAATATTTCTAAATTGTGAAGATCATAATATTTTAAATATGAAGAGCAGAACCTGCCTAAAAAAAATATGCTTACGACTTTGCCCTTTTCGTGGCAATATGTGGCAAGCAATCTTTCCTTTCAATATTGTGTCAGAGTTGCCCTATTTGTAGCAAGCAATCCCTCCTTCCAGTATTAGAAAGTGTCCTGTCTTTGTGGCAATGTGTAGCAAGATTAGTGTTTAATGTTTATCTAATGACCAGGCGAGATTTTTTTTATACCTTGTTTAGTGAACCCGCCACCTACCTGCCAATAATGATGATTTCCAATAAAAATACAATTTTATTTTTTGCCGATTAGCACACCGGTCGCCACAAAGAATGGAAATTTCTTTATTTTTCTTGCGCCGCCACTGCCTTAAAGTCTCCAGAAAAAAAGATGTACAGTATTTCTTCCTAATTACATACATTTCAAACATTTAACCTTCCATTTAAGTTTTTACTATATTACCAATAAAATTTTATTTTTATTTTCTCCTCTCTGGATGTTTTTGGCAAAACTATTTGCTAAATAATAAGTAAAAAAAAAAAAAAATTTTTTTTTTCCACTCTCCTTAACTGATTTTATTTTTAATCGCGAACTGATCGCGAAGCAAGGTATATAAAAAATCTTGCCTAATAGTTTGTTAGTTTTTACGATAAATACTCCAATATCACTATCTGCTTTACATTATGCCTACAATATTACTATTTATCATATTGATTAATTTTGTATTTTCGGAGATATCAAATATCAAATGAATATACCTGTATGTATATGAATAAAATTATAAAAATACTCTTAGTAGATTTTCGAGATCATTAATTCGATATGCATGGACGCCTTCAGTGCATTACCATGGAAATTAGAACCAAGAGATGATTTGTACAGTAGCAATTATAATCATTGTATGAAACTCGTTTGTACGTGCAACTAGTGAACTAATTAAACCTGTTGATATGGATCATTATCAAGTAGAAATGAATCATTTCTATTGCTTGCTTTTGTTGTTATCTTGGTAATATTCCATCAACTGGGGGGATTCGATCTACACGATTTTCATTATTTAGTTTATAACAATAGGCTAGTGTAGAGTCTCATTCATTTCTTTTAGATGAGGCAGCACTCTATGCTTAAATAATGTTTTCTTTTCCGATGGGAAATTGGGCAAATACCTTGTATTAAAGCATAAAATGTATAAAAATGATATGAATATTAAGTTAATTTTTATATCGTATGTTTATTCCAGGCTAAATATTGCGACTTTTTAACTACAATACACAGCTTCACAGGTCAAGGGTAGATATTTTCCTCGTTAAAATTTGTCACCACAGTTTTTAATATTATTACATATAAAGCCAATCCATTGCATGTATTGAAATAAGAAAAAAAAATAGGATAGAGAACAAAATGTTTCAATTAGGGCCTCTGACCCCTGTGTTGTGCCACCAGCAGCAAAGTAGCTCTCCCCATTTTCAGTATCTGTTCTGATAATTTGGAAAATAATGATTGTAATTATTATTATTAATTTATGAAATCTAATGTTATTAATTAGTTATAGTACTATTGTTATAAGTTATTAGGCCTATCCTGTCTATAAAAAAAAATGTGTAAAGCATGAACAGTTGCCTAATGAATCATTAAACATAATTAACAAAGTTGAGGAAATCTAAGCTTAGAATTATATCATTACACCAAAATAACAAGCTTCATTGCGGCCGCCCTCTGTATTCACCACTGCTTGAGCGAAATCACTATTAAGCACTCTCTATTAAGATAGCCACAGAAAGTGGACAAAACCAGCCATTCGTTCTTTGTTTTTATATGGGATATGCAAAAGATTTTGTTTTTTCCTCATGTTATGTATTTTTGCTCTCTAATTGGTTATGCCCAGTAATAACATTAAGAATTATAATGTAATTAGCTGCTGAGTACTCTTGTTAATGTCTTGAATTGTATTTTAAACGATTGATTTTCATCTGTCTTAAGTGCACATTAACTAGGGTCTGTTGTACTGTGCAAAAGATTCTGGAGTACAATTTTAAATTATTGTCTATGGACAGCTCACTAGAAGAAGCCATCAGGCAGGCTAAGCACTTTCCTAACCAATATTTTGCTGAGATTAGTATAAATATGAATTAATAATTACCGGTATATTATATTATGTTTATTTTGTAAATTATAGTCAAAGTCAGAAATGACAGTTTTTTTTTCATAATTTTTTAGTCTTGAATCGTACTTTACTTAGTTAAGGTGCTCTGCCTCTATATGGCAGGTCCTCAGGTATTTTGTGCTCGTTCTTGTAACATTTGGTATGAGCTTCGATCTTTCAGGTACAGTAGTCCAGAAAAACAACATGTTTTCTCCCCTTTGTGGTTTTCCCATAAAACATCCTTCAAAAAACTGGTTTTAGTGATTCTTATCTCTCAGTACATGGCCAATCCCTGATTTCTGTCTATGGTTTATAGTTTTAATGATCTGACGTTCTTCTATCAATTGCAATACCTCTTGTTGTTTTCCTTTCAGTATATTTTATTTTCATCATTTCCCTCCATGTTCACATCTCAAATGCTTCTATTCGCCTTCTATCTTCTTTCCTTAAAGGCCATGTTTCCTTAATGTCCATAAATCGTAGCGCCATTAATATTACTGTAGATTATTAATATTTTTAGCATAATTTTGCCAAAAAAAAAAATATATGTACAATACAGTCATTAAAATTGAACTTTCTATTAAAATACATATAGTACTAGGAAAATAATTTTTTAATGAGAATTCTATTTCAAAGCATTATTAAAAATATTCTCAGTCCAATCGGTAATGCTTTTCTGCCTGGCCAATTACAATGTTTCCACTTTGTCTGTTGTTCTATAGTGAAATTGTTAAAAGATTTTACACTAAGGGTGTTCTGATTAATGTATGATAAATATTTGATAATGATTGCTTGAATGTGAAGAGGAATACTGTACGTGCGTCTCTATTCAGCTTTGCTCTCAGATCGCTTGCCAGTTTTAAGTGTGGATGCTATGTATATTTAATGATTAAGAATAATTATACAATATCAAAGAATGTTTCATAACTCTCTGTCAAGGTTGTTTGTGAGGATGGACAAAGACTGCGCATCATCAACTGATGATAATAATCATGCAATATTATTACAAGCTTTTTAAGAGTTTACCTGTAGTATTTGGAAAGCAAAATTATGAATTTCAACTAGGCTACAGGGTAATTCACCACTCTATCATCAGTCGTGGTATCTCTATTAGTATGCTTTACAAAATTAGATTACTGCCTTATTATAATTAGCAGTAACAACATATTGTACTATAATTGTATAGCACTACTATATAGGATGTACAGTGGCTTTACAATCAGACTGTGCTATGATGATAATATCAACTGTTGAAATTAACGATTTTGCTGACAATAATCGCATCGTTCTTTTGTGCAGTAATTTCTGACCTTGGTTTGCTTTTTAGATTTCCTTGTGCAATTTCCCTTAAAATGTTGTGTACGGTTACTCTGGAGACGAAATGAGATGTTAAGTCCTCATCACATGTTATTGATTACTTAATATAAATATAATTTACTTAGCTTGTATATTTCTGCTAAATTTAAAAAAAAAAGTTTATCATGTGAGAATTCTTAAATATAATGATGGATGTCAGGAAAAATATTGTAGTTATAAAATATTCTTGGTCTAGGTGGTAAAGTCAGGCTCCGGAGGGAAAAAGCAATGTTGATATGTTTTACAACTGATTTTCCTTAGACAAAAAGCACATTTGACAAAAATCCCAAAGCAGTTAATGAGATCTACAGATTTTTTAAAATTTTTAGAAACTGGGGTAAATGGGACATAACCACCCTTTATTTCCAGCTTCCCTTCTCCCAGCTTTTAAATATTTGAAAATCTGTATAGTCTAACTGTTCCCAAGTTCTTCGTCAAATATACTTTTTGTGTTTCAGAAAAATCAGTTGTACAAACATAGAAAAACTGCATTCTCAGTTTATTCAGCAGTTTTTAATCTGTTTTATTATTTGGATACATTTTTTTAGCTCTTAATTTTACTGAAAATTTATATGATTCCATATGTTCACTTTGCATAAACCTCCACTTAAAAAAGAAATAAAATCATCTGGTTTGTTCTAAACCATTAATGATAATGGCAGAATGGAAGGCAGTATTACACACTTGCTTGCTACATAAATTACTACTTCAGTTGAATGTAAATAAAGCATGTTATTTGAAGAGCAATAACCTAGATACAGAAATTTGAATCTGAGTGTACAGGCCTCGGATATGATCAGAGCTGTTTGATGGTGTTAATTAACAGGCACAATGCTTTCTCATTTCCGTACAGATCCTAGCCTTATTTGAAGAAGACGAAGATGAGAAGGTGACCGCATTTGTGGAACCGTTTGTTATCCTCCTCATTCTGATTGCAAATGCTATCATTGGTGTTTGGCAGGTAAGCGAGTGAATTTCATAAGTAACATTTTATTTACCTCAAGTGGCTCTCCCATACAAATGCATTGCGGTCATTCAGTGAGTCAGCAAGCCTAAATCTGTGGCTACGCGCTACATTTCAGCCAATCATAGCACAGAAACCTACTTCTGGCTATTGCATTTTATTGGGCAAATAAGAATAAACGGCTTTCCCCTTGGAATGACTTGCCTGTTCATGTATCTATCTTTTTATGTCTTTCGAAAACTGCTAATATTTTCAACTTGTTTAACTCACTAACTTGTTTTCGCAAGTGAGTTGTTCCAAGTTTCGTCAGGGATTGCGTTACAACAGTGATCATGTGAATTACGGTTTAGCTGGGCTAGTTGTGGAATTGATTGCATTTTTGTTAGTGCCTTTTCGTTTTCATGACCTACCTGCATACATTTTTTTTTTTTTACATATTGAGACATTTTTATTAAGCACATTTAATTTTATTTATAAATGTACCCCAGTATTTATTATGATTTCAACTCTGTAAAACAAAGATTGTTGTTATAATAAGTTATCAAGAATAAGGAAAAAAAAATTTCCGAATTAGGTTACCCACTGTAATTTATGTGCCAAATCAATATAAATAATTCCAAACAAAAAACTAACTGTATTCAGTTTTATCAAAATTAACGTCCTCTCCTGGTTCACGCCGTTTTCCCCCCATTTTTACAACATGAAAGCCATTATATCTTACATATTTTTTTGTTGCTTTTGTTTAAGAAAAGATTCTGTATTGTATGTTATAGTTTTATTGTGTTGACTTATATTAAGAAATCATATAATGAAATGGTGTGAAGATGACTTTAGGTTTATTTTATTTAAACCGCAGTTCAATATTGATTATAATCCTAATCCCATGACAGAAACACAAATGATCCTGCAAAAATCAATAATGATGAAAAATAGTAAAGTGAACACACAAAAGGGATTATTTATATGATGTCTATTGATTAATAACCTATTATTGATTTTCACATTATGCCCAATATAAATTTGAAATTAAACAATGAAAACGTTTCTTTTGAGTTATTGATTATGTACTAAGCTTTTTCTTTGCTCATTTAAGTATTATTTATACAAAGCCCCATCAAGTGGCTTTGATTACATAGTTGAGTAATTATTTGTCATCACTCCCAACATACAAGAGCACAATTTGATCTCTGACCTTGCATCAAATTTAGATCATTAATTATTAGTGATTACCAGCTGATATTGTTCTCCATTCCTTACGTATAGGATGGTGTTCACATTTTATTGAGGATGGCATCTGATTGAAAATGTTTTAATCGTGATCAAATATGACACAAATCTCATCTAATGTCAATTTTTAATAATTATAATAATATTTGAAAAAGAAGCATGAACAAGTAATACACAACCTATCTAAGAACCAATTCTGAGGTATATGATAGGCACAGTCATTGACCCCCCAAAGTGGTTAGTAAGTGGTTCCTGTATGTCATGGAGGTACATGACATTTAAGTGTGTTAATAATAGCTGCACCTTACGATCAATGTAGAGTATAGAAGAAGCATTCAGTATTAAAACAATACCCAATGATAATGTGAAAATTTAAATTTAAGATTTTGGCTGGGTTCTATGGACCTGACCCAGTAACATCGCACCTCCAAGGACAAGAGTAACAGCAAATAAATCATGATGCCCAAGCTAGGTCTTAAGCAAGGATCTGCACACATTCATTTAACATGAAAGAACCAATCCATGTTGGTCATTTTTACCATTATATGCATTGATTTTCAAATAAACTTCTTGATGGTGCTTGATGCATTAAATAATGCATGTAGAAAAAGTTTTAAAACATTTTGATGCCCACCCTACTCAAAGTTTTCACTGGCTTTATTTATAAACTGCATAAATCATAAAAACAATTTTTTTTTTCAATTTTGACATGTATTTGAATACAATTTTCATGAATTTGTGTGTACAAAATACAGGTATCCTTCCTTATATTGTTTATACACTTGAGGAAATATTTGCATAAGGCCCCACAGGTTGGAAAAATGTTTTCAAGGATTTGTTACATTATAGTAGGTATATAATATTGACATCTTGTATTCGAAATTTTGTCTTCAACTTCAATATCCTATTAAAAGACATTAAAATGTCGTCAGCTGACTTAATTTTGATGTTGCAGATAGCGCACACTGTTTTGAAATGCAGCTGGTCTAACATCATCACTAGTAATGAATGTCGATATTGTTAATAACAATACAAAAATTTCATCAAAATGACGTATAATTATTTTGCAGACCCATTCTAAATTTAAGGTGCTTTAAGCATATCGACTTATTTCTGAGCTTCACAGGGGAATATAAGATTATGGGCTTAGAGGTTTTGTCACCAGTACAGTATCTTTGATATGATCAGAGCATGAAGATACTTACAGTACTTAGTATGAGAGATTTATGAACTACAGTAGCTAAGGCCTTATTCCCGGCTGGATCTTAGATGCTTTTATGATAATCAAAGCTGTTTCTGCATCATTAATCTCTTATCAAGAGCAGTTGTGAGGATTATCAGCATGTATGATTGCTAGGCATGTACTAATGAACAATTTAGAGGAGGAAATTTCTTCACTACTTTAGATTTTTAAAGAAAAACTAGACTGCCAAACCACTACTCCCAGCCTATAATATTCATTTCATTCAGTGGAATTTGTATGCATTTTTTTTTTTTTATGATTTTGTTCTGTTTCATTAATTAAATTTCTGTGTACTTATTGGATTTTTATGACGTTATAAATTGACCCAACTTCAAATAAAGACATCAAATTACAATTATTGTCATGATGATGTAATAAAAAAAAAAAAGCACTTGGAGCAGTTCTTCAAAAAGAAAAAAAATTACCATAAAATTAACAGTGTTTTGACAGGTGATTAAAATATTTAAAAATATCTCAAATGTGACAGTAGCTGCTACAGTAGGTAAGACAAGACCTTTTTTATACCTTGTTTAGCCAACCCACTGACGTCCAAAAATTTAGAATAAAGAGAGTGTAATCGGGCCACTTAGGAGTGCAGTTTTGTACCTAAACCCCAACGAAGGTAGTCTGCACCCTCCAACTGTAAAATTGCTCTTCTGAGCCCCATCTATTTCAAATTCTGGATCCGCCAATGTGAAGCATCTTTCTCTATAGCTTTTTGATGCACTGTATTTGTTGCATAGCTACAGTATTTTTTAATTACTGAATTGGAAATGTTTGTTTTTTGAATAATTTTTAAAGCTTTTCATGCTGTGTGTGTGTCACTTAATGAATTCCTTGTGAAAACAAAATACCCCAGGAGAGGAATTGGACCATGCTTGGCCATTAAACAAATTCTATGTTATGTGAATTTATGTGATGGAAGGAATTATCATGAACTTCAAGAGTTGACTATTTTTTTCTGCATTGAAACTATTGTGTTTTTGTTGTTGCTTCTTGTGTAAACTTTATTTAGCCATAATACCTCAAGTGGCATATCAGATTTTCATTACTTCCCGAAAAAATGCAGCGTGGGTCAAGAATTATAGTTGGAGGAAAGGTAACGAACAGTTTGATTAGGCAATAACTTGTTGCTGAGTTGCAACTAACCTCTAGAGTTGGGGTCATCAGACAAGTCCAAAGGTCTCTGTAAATGTCTCTTGCCGTATGTTCAGTTCGTTTGCCTTTGCTTCTAGTACGCTGTTCGAAATCAACAAAATCAACAGACTTTGCTTTTCAAATTTAATTAGAGCCTACTCGTATCAAGTGTTAATGATCTTTAGCGGGAGACAGCATACTGTAGGCAAGTGTGAGATGATGATATATAGATTGGTGTCTGTAATGTGAATGCTCCATCTGTTGCCACAAACATACAGGAATGACATTAACTGACCTGCAAATGTAAATGTTATAACCATTTTAGTTCATTTAACAGCTACAGTGTGCTGTCCCATCCATGTCAAATTATGCGTAACAGTTTTGAAATGTCATAGGTTAATTCGAGGAACCTACCAACATTAATGTCAATAAATTTTATTTTGTTTGTGTTAAGCATAATTGGAAAAATGTAATTCAATAAGTGATTACTTTGTAATTTAAGTTCTAAATAAGTTAGATAAATCTTTTAAAATTGTTTTGTTTTTCTTTGTTTTTTTTTCTTTTTTTTCTTTAACAGTAGTAGAAACCTGTAGATTTTCTAGTAAATGGTTAACAAAGAATTTACTTACTATTTTAAATTTTTTTTTTTAAACATTGTATTTATAATGAAAATTATAGTTTATATTAATGTTGTTTATGATTTATTTATGAACAAACTGAATATTAGTGATTTGCTGGCAGCTGATTGATATATGTTGTTTGGAAAATAAACAATTAAAGTTTCTGATCAATTCAATTGTAATAATTGTTCTTTTTGAACAGTTTAATTTTAAATGAAATTAATTCAATACCATTGCCACTAAATCTTGGTCTTAGTTTTTTTCTTTCTATGTATTGTAGAAATTACAGGGGTCCAGGTCTCGTATGATAGCAGCTTAGCTCAGTCGGTGGTAGCCACTGTGTGTGTGTGTGTGTGGGTGTGTGTGTGCGCTGAACTGTGGAAGTTTCTTGGTCCCCGGTTCATCGCTGCTCTCCTTGTATTTCAACTGGAGGGCTGAAGTGCGAAATACAATGGCGCACCGCCTTTCAAATGAGATGTTTAAGCCGTTAGTCCTGTGTGTGTTATGGCCCCATGTGCACGTTAAAGAAAGCAGTATACTCTTCGGAAAAGGGTAGGGGATTGGCTCCCTATACACTACTGCCCAATCACTGCCAGAATGACAAACTGGAAATAAGTCTTCAGACTTTCGTGGGTTATTATTGGTGTTTACACCAAATAAATCTCCCAGAAATTAGCACAGTCCCTTGCACTCCCAAGATCAAGTAAAAATTGTACTGAAACAAACCCATCACAAGGGTATATTTTTACTACAGTAACTACAAATTCATTAAACCAGATATCCCGGAAATATCTTCTCCCAATATAACATCAGGTAATTAGTTGAAACTTTTTTTTTAACATGAAAAATAATTTGTTTTATTTACAGGAAAAAAATGCAGAGGATGCTATTGATGCGCTAAAGCAGTATGAGCCAGAGATAGCGAAGGTCCTACGACAGGGCAAGATCGGGGTCACCAAAATCAAGGCCCGTGATCTAGTTCCTGGAGATGTGTGCTCTATTGCTGGTAAGCTATAGTATTCCAACTTTTGCTACTGATTATTTATGTTTTTGTATGTAGTTTGAGTGTTAAGTATTGTTTGTTTATAGTATACTACCAGTAGTTAAGTTTGTTTATTTGGGATATAATTAATGGAAGAACACCTCCGTGAATAAGTTACCTGTCTGTTTTATGCCGTAAGTGCACAATAGGCTGTTGTTAGGTTCACACTAGATAAGAGGCCTAGTATCCGGATCGGGAGCTAATCGTTAGCACCCGCGTGAGAACGGCTGATCGGTTAGCGCTAACTGGATATGCTATCACTAAGGAAGTTGAGTGCATTTCTATCATTCTTTCATTAACCAATCTCATACACATTTCCATTTTCCTATTGGCCAGTAATCCTACTGACATCTTCTTGATATCTGGATTGGGGATTTTCTAATATGAATGCAACCGTGAGCATGTATGGTATTTATCTGGATTCTGCAAACCGTTAGTTGGTGTGGGGGTGGGTGGGTGTATGCTGTCTCTTATACACATCTAGATGTGTATAAGAGACAGACAGTAGCTAAGGCCTTATTCCCGGCTGGATCTTAGATGCTTTTATGATAATCAAAGCTGTTTCTGCATGAGGCCTAGTATCTGGATCGGGAGCTAATCGTTAGCACCCGCGTGAGAACGGCTGATCGGTTAGCGCTAACTGGATATGCTATCACTAAGGAAGTTAAGTGCATTTCTATCATTCTTTCATTAACCAATCTCATACACATTTCCATTTTCCTATTGGCCAGTAATCCTACTGACATCTTCTTGATATCTGGATTGGGGATTTTCTAATATGAACGCAGCCGTGAGCATGTATGGTATTTATCTGGATTCTGCAAACCGTTAGTTGGTGTGGGGGTGGGTGGGTGTATGTGTGTGTGTGAACATATCCTGTAACTCTAAATGAGTATCCTGTAAAAATGAAGATTTTATTTTTATTCATTTTTAATGAAGAAAAAGTAATAATGGCATTGAGATTGGTTATTAGTTTGTACAGCATTTAACATAACAATAACAATCCATTAAAAAACTAGTCAATATTTTGTTAATGATGGGTGATTTATTGATGGACAGTTTTACCACTAAAACTAAATTTATATTTGAAATCCAAGTTGTTGCGTGAAATGTGTTAGAATGATAGCCATTTTGAAATTCAAGATGTCCGATTCTGCTTGAGAATTTTTAACATACATTGCCATCTTTAACAGGTTGACGCAAGTCTAGTTGAGGAGGGCAATTAATGTACTTGACACAAATTGACATGGGTCCTCTGACTATTAATTACATTGATAAGTTGATGATGAAACTTGCTATTCGGTAATCCTACCTTTGGAAGATGAATACAATAACTGTTGATGGCTGCAGATTATAATTTGTCTCATATTAATTAGGCCAAATAATCAAAAAATCACGGTTATCATTTTGACTTCGAACATGGTAAGGATAAGGACCAAGTTATTTTTACTCACAAAGATGGTCACCATACACACACACACATAGTAGTAATACTACCCACATAATAGTAGTAATTTACCATTCCCTTTCATCTTCATAAAGAAGTGATAAGGAAGAAGGATGAGGATAAGAAACATGTTTTATTTTTTGTTTGGCCTTTCTCATGATGAATCACAATCTGATGAATATGCATTGTTTAGTTTATTGCAGTTATATCTTTTGTGTATTTGTATGAAAGCACTCTGTTTATTGTGACCATTAAATATTTATGGTTGAAGCAATAATTATGAATGAACACTATACCAAGTGATTTAGAAAATTGCAATTCTGCCAGACATATTTTTTAGTAAAATTAAGTGTAGGCCTACTTTAAGATTATTAGTGTTTATTTTAATATGCTGCTAATGTACGTCGTAATATTTGTAAATTAATTTTTGTTTATTGATCTTTGAAATTATTCATTTTTGATAAGTATTCCAGATAATTACAAGCATTTTCATTTATTGTAGTTGTAACCGGATGGTTCAGATGGTTACCTTCTAATTCCTTGGTCCTTTCTAGTTTCACAAATTTTCATTTGGTGACTAAAAAAAATTCTATAATCAAAGCAAGGAAATTCTTTCCCCAGCTTTTATTATGTCATAAATTGGGAAAACCCAAGTTATAGAAATTATCGATACTAGGGTTTTTTAACCTAAACAGGGATGATTTCCATTTTAGGTACCAATCAATTTTGATTACCATCTCAGTGGGTGCGTCAGTAATAGAGAAATGAATCTTAAGATTTTTGAGTTTGGTGATACCTGTTTTCATGCCATTCAAAGGGGTCATTTGTACTAGTACTTCCCTAGGGTATGGTGCAACCTTCCTGCTGATCTTTGTAATGAACTACTTTTTAATCTTAATTTTATAACTAAACTCAAATCGTTTTTACCTCTGTAACTGATTTGTTGGCTTCGCATTTTAATATAAATATTTTGACGTTCTGTTTTGTTTAACGATTGTGTAGCCATTTTGCAGTTTTATGTTATTTGATGTATTTATAGCTTTTTAGTGTTTGAATACTTTTATCTATTTGTTTCAACTTTTTAAGCAGTTTTGTATTTTACTGTATATTTGTATGGCGTAAAATAAGGGGAATATCTTTTAACACTACGACCAACCCACTTTAGAGAACAACCCTGCTAAGGGAGCGGAGACACTTTCTGAGTGTGTCAAATGGTCAAATCAACACATTTTCAACTTCTATTAAGAAGACTTTTTTCTATTTATTTTATTTTTTTTTATCAAATAGAGGTACTCCTATGTAAGAGACGCCCCTTTTAAGGGGACACATTTTTGGATCAAAAGGTGTCTCACCGTATATCTATTTATTTGTTACTGTATTTCATTCGCATCCAACAGCGAGTAACATACGCACACACACACACACATAGGCAAATATATATATATATATATATATAGATAAAACAAAAAACTCCGGAGAGAAAGTAATAAGTTGCCAGGTATATATTTATTTAATAGTGAGCAAACGTTTTCGGTTATCAACCTTTGTCAAGCTATATATATATATATATATATTATACAATAGCTTTAATTTCATTGCAGTAGCTTTTTAGCTTATTTTGAAAGAAAGTAAATTCAGCTTTTATTAGGATTGTCTATTTGGCAAATTATTTGGCCAGTTATTTGGAACATGTTTTTTCTTAACAGTAGCTTAGCAAAAAAACTAAATAGCATAAAGTTTGCAAATTTTGTATATTTATTGAAGTTTTGTATGTAATTGATGATGAGTTAAGTGAAATAATTGAATGAACTGAAATATAGTCTTCGTAGTAGTAGATAGTAGTTATAAAATTGTGTTGAATATTATTCAATGCCAGATTTAGAGTACTTTAGTAGTTTAGCATTGAAAAGTGGTAAGGTGCTGGGCTTTATAATTTAAAGGTGGATGGTTCAAATTCAATGTTGATCATCATTGCTTATGTCCTTGTCCATGACATTACAAATTGTCACAGGATTGTTTACCTGGTAGAAATTGAATGATTTCGATGACACTTATTCTATGTTGAATTACAATTTTACACGCTTGACTAGCATAATCAACCAGGGAGCGGAGGTGGTTCCACTGTGTGCGTGATTTATTCTGTTTCCAATCACCAGAGAGAAGCAAAATCACTTTTCGACTTCACAAAATGTGTTATTTTAAACCAGTGTAATTCATCCAAGGTTAACAAGCTACTATTTCAATGTAAAGCACGAAGCCAAAATTAACTTGTTACAGTGATTATAAAATCTGTAATAATTTGATCTACATCACAGAGTGCAGGAAATGACAGAAAAAATAGGAATGATATTTCGTTTTTTTATTATTTTGCCTAACGCCCAGTTCTGATTGGATTTTTTTTTTTTGTAATTCATTTTGTATCCTCATTTAGGTACAGTTAAATCCTTTATATTTTTAAATTTTTTTTTTTTTCATTTTTTGTGAGTTTTGGGGATTTATACAGTACAGTACACGCAGACACAGAACTAAACTACTAAATTCAGTTTTTAAATAGTTGATTCTTTTTCATTATCAAATGTAATATAAATAACCACATTTTGTTGGGTATGTTGGCACAAAAGTTATGGCTCAACTTTCAGGTTGGGGATTCAAAACTTGGACTGTCTGTGCGAGTTATTTACGTCATTGGGCCAGTCAGTTTATCCATCTTACTACCAAAAAATATAAAATGACTAGAAGACTACCAAATTGTGGACTAGTGACGCTCCCTCACAGCAGCATGGCAGAATTTGTCTGTTTTAGCCTATAAAGATCTGGCCTCACAAAAAACAACAAAAACAACAACAAAAACTGTTGTATGCCCATATATAGTCATGACTTACTTATATATGGTTATGATGTGCCTATATATGGTCATGATGTGCCCATATATATAGTCATGACTTGCCTATATGGTCAGTGATGTACTTTAATGTCACATGTTCTGTCAAATATCATTTAATAGCCTGGAGAGGCTTTAAGCTCATCTCATTCACTGATTGCTTTACTACAATGTTGCATTTTGTATTTTCTAAAATTAAAGTGCAACCATTAAATAAAAGAACTGAATCCCAAATACTGCAGCTTTTTGTACACATCCTTGGCTTTTTCATGGATAGTATTTGACTCTCATTTCATTGACTGGTTCTACCATGGTGATGCTTTTGTGTGAACATGACAGCGATGTGATTTACTCATTTCTGTCTTCCGTAATGATCTTTTAAGTATAATAACTAGAGTATACCTTACAAAATATATTAAATTTATTCTGAGATTTCTTCTGATCAATAATGACCAAAAAAAAAAAATAAAACAACGCAGTTGAAACTTGGACTTAAAAGCAGGTGAAAAATGAGAATGAATTCCCAGTCCTTGAAACCGAATCACCTACTAAATAGATGAGTGAATTGAATATAAAACATATTTGAATAAATTTTATCTTGTAGAGAAACTGGGAATAGGTCATCCATAGTAGGCT